GCTGTAAAGCTGCTTTGCAACGATTTGTATCGTGAAAAGCGCTATACAAATAAACTTGAATTGAATTGTTCATGAATAATAGAATTATATTTTGTTAATGATAACATTATTAATGATTCATTTCCTGTTTCTGTCAGGTCTGAGAAAGATCGGTATAGATGATCCTGTCATGTTCCTGATCTCTGGCTGGGAGCTCAACAAGTATGACATAAATCTGCTGCAAGAAAGAATGGAGAAAGACCTTCCACAGCATAAAAAGCATGTGCTGATGTTGGCTTTGCCAAATATCACACTAAAAATTAATGAGAAAAAGAAGGAAGTTCTAGAAAAAAACATTAAAAGAGTAGCCTTCCTGTCTGCTTGTGTGGCGGCTGTTCCAATTCCCTGTCTTTCGCTGACTGTGGATTTAGCTATCATAGCATTTGAGATAGATAGATACTGCAAAGCCTTTGGTCTTGATAGGAAATCTCTGCAGCAGCTCTGTGAAAGGTCAGGGAAGACCTTAGAGACTCTAGAGAGTCTGTTGGAATCTGTTTGGCATAAAGGAATATGCACAAGTTCTCTCTCAGTATTACTGAATGAGTCAACCCTTCTGGTAACAGAAGAGGCTGTTGAGTCTGTTCTTAGGGTTGTGCCTGTTTTAGGCTCTGTAGGGGCAGGAGCACTGTCCTTTTGGACTTTGTCAAGGATGCTGAAGAATGCTCTGAATGACATAGCAGAAGATGCCAGGAATGTGCTAATGGCTGTACTGGATACTGAAGTATAAGCAGATTTAATGTACCAGCATGTTTAACTTAGAGTATGTGAGGTATTCAAGTTTAATTATTTCAGAAAGAGCACAATAGTTTTTGTTTTGTAACACTGTTTTTTTTTTAAATCTAATAGATTAATCGTTTTACCAATGAAATGTTTTAACTGTTAAATAGTAATCGTAAAGCTTGTTAAAAATCTAAGGTTGAAAGGTTAAAAAAGTAAAGGCAAAGAGCAGCTTAGTTGATTATTTAAAATTTTATTTTGGGAAATTGGATGTGTTTCTGTTTACTTTCCTTTGATTATTGATTTTTCCTGACATGTTTCTGTCATGATGCTCACACAAACTACACAGCTGGGATGTTGTTGTTAGGCCTGGGGTAGTCATAAATTTAGCCATATATGTTTTTGAATTTTGTAATTTTCTTTTGGTGTTATTTAACAGCTCACTGTTAGAGATATATTGGTATTATTGTTCTGTCCTCATTAAAGAAACTGTGTAAATGTAGATTTTTTAAAATAGGGATATGGAGTATTGCTTTCTTTTTCTTTCTTTTTTTTACATTTTCTGGATTCTTTCTATAATGTTTATATCTTTATTTTGCATTTACAGGATACAATAATTCTGCACTGCGTGTGAACTGTATATGATTGTAATGATTGATTGTAATCAGATGAGGCACATTAATGATTTACTTAATGACTTTTTCCATACTTACAGAATGATAATAACAGTAACTATTTGTGTCCAATTTTCAAGTTCTAAATTTACAGCTAGAGGAGAATATTAATTAATTTCAATACTATATATCTTCTTCTAATCTCATGCTTTAAAAATTAAACATGTTTAGCTTTATCTGACTCGTGTTATATGAAAATGTGTATGTAAAAAGCAAACGGTAAGGGGAAGTTAAAGGTGACATATTACGCCCTTTTTTACAATATGTAATATAAGTCTCTGGTGTCCCCAGAATATGTCTGTGAAGTTTCAGCTCAAAATACTCCACAGATCATTTCTTATATAATTTTGAAAATGCCTATTTTGAGTGGAAGCTGCATGCTGTTTTTCGGGCCTGTCTCTTTAAATGCAAATGAGCTGCTGCTCCCCGCCCCTGTTTTGGTTCTGATTGTCATGTTAATCGCGCTGAAATCATGCATTTTAAACCATATGAGTTTAAACTTTCTGAGAGCACACATCCAAAGCACACGGACAGAAAGCGGCTGTACTAAACTAAGTTCTCATTCACACACAAGTTTACGTTAAAAACACACACAAGTTACAAAAACAGTCGGTTATGTCTGGGAAGGTAAACTGCTGGGAAATAAAATGCATGTTAATTTTAGATCTGTGTGGCAGCAGCAATATACAGTAAATCAATCAATAAATGCACTGCTCTGTTGTCTGCTCTGAGGCTGGGACTCTAAACAGTGTTCTGTGCTCATCTGTGCAGCCAATGACAGAACAGTTAACGTGTTTTGTTTAAACTTTCGCCATGGCATTAGAGCTGGTACACTGTTGTGCTTGCAGGATCAAAATGCGTCATTAGTGATGGGTCGTTCTTGAACGATTCGTTCATTTTGAACGAATCTTTAATATGACTCGGGAAGAACGAGTCGTCCCGGGGAGTGATTCGTTCAGTCTAGAGTCTTCGGGTTTGAGTCATTCGTTCATCACGTGACAGCCCCATAAGCTTAACGTATGCAGTCTTGAGCCGGAAAGAGACTTAATAATAATAACCAACTCTTTATTACCTTTGTTACAACATTCAGTGTTATGGAAAGGACCATCATGACAGAAATTCACACATTTATAAACTGTAATGATTAAAAAGCTACAATTTGAGACCAGAAACGCATCACGTAACTAAGAGTAAATAATAATTATAATAATGATACTACTACTACTAATAATAATAATAATAATAATTATGCACCAGTTTGTAAGCAAGCTTGTAAATTAACTAATTTCTATATCCAATGCTGTCACGTGACAAAAGAACGAACGATTCGAAAGACTCGAGAGATGAACTAATCAATTCTCTTTCCGGCTCAGACTGCATTGGTTAAAGCGTATGGGGCTGTCACGTGATGAACGAACGACTCAAACCCGAACCCGAAGACTTGTCAGGTAAGAGGTGAGGTGAGCTAATCATAGACTGAAGACCCAGGTAAACAATGAATTCATCTTTTCTGTTTCTTATAACATTATAGTTTTGTATTGTTTGTAGTGTGATCAACGTTTGCGTAAGTAGTAGACGTGTTAGGGAAGTAACACATAACATTTTAATTATATTTTGCTAAAAT